CCCCCCCCGCCACCCCCCGTCCTCTCGCGCGGTGGGCCGGGCCCTCAGCGTGTGCTTTCTCTCCGCCGCGCGGGAGGGTGCCCGAGAGAGGATGAGGAAGTGTATGAGAGGAAGAGACCTGGGCCACCTCCGGCGGAGAGTTTTCTCTCTCGTGCTGAAGGATTTTCCGTTTTTCTTAACTTCTTCTCCAGCCAATCGTCAACATGGACAACAAGGGTGTCAAGGTACGCACGCACCCCCCCCCCTCCTCTTCCCCTTGCCGCCGTTGCCGCGCCCCTCTCGCCACCACCACCACCACCACCATTCTCCTCCGCTTCTCCTTCTCTCCATGCATCTCCTCCTCCACCGCCCTCCTCCCGTGCTTCTTTTGCCCTTCCCCCACTCCCTGCCCGCCTCCTTGCGCACTGTGTCCTCGCTCCATTGCGCACCGCCATCATCGCCACCGTTGTGCCGGAGTCTGCGCGCTTTCTCTGTTCCCGCCGGCGCTGCTTGCACCAGCTTCCCGCTTTTCTCCTCTTCCCCCTCCTGCCTCCACGACCCCCTTCCGTTGCTGTTCATGTTGCTCCCCCCCGGGGAGTGAGCGGAGCGTATCGCCTTGCCTCTTGTGGTGTCCGGCCGGCGCCGAGAGGTGGGGGGGACGTTTCTTGCCTCCTCCCTCGGCCTCATGTGCCTGTGTTTTTTATCCATGCACATGTGCCTGGGCGCGAGCATGCCGGCGCGCGAGGTGGCGACGGTGGTAGCCGGGGCCTCCCCTTGCTTTCGCATCCACACTCCATCATCCCCTTCTTTCCCGGGGCGGATCCCTCCCTCCTCCCTTTATTGATATATCCCCGGTGGCCGGCCCATTGACACTCCCTCCTCGCTCTCCCCGGCTCTCCCCCCGTAGCTTGCTCGCGTTACTAAGGTCCTCGGCCGCACCGGCTCTCGTGGTCAGTGCACCCAGGTCCGCGTTGAGTTCCTCGACGACTCCAGCCGCTCTATCATCCGCAACGTCATCGGCCCCGTCCGTGAGGGTGATATCCTTACCCTCCTCGAGTCCGAGCGCGAGGCCCGCCGTCTCCGCTAAATGGCCATTGGCGCCTGTGTATTGGTGCGTGGGCTTTTTACATGCTTCCCGTATCTCTCCTGTCCTGTGCTTCCCTTTCGCGCGTTCGTCGCGCGCGCGTGTGCCCCCCCTCAAGCCACCAGCGCTCGTTCTCCCCGCATCTCTCTTTCTCTCTCTCTCTCTCTCCTAGTTGCCCGCGTGCCACCTCTTTCGTATTGCCATCTCGGCTCCTCTCCCCCTTTCTTCGCGTTTTGTGGTGCTCTCGATCCCCATGCTGACTATCTGCTTTCCTCCTTCTTTCCTCCCCTTCTCTCTCTCTCTCTCTCTCGCGCGGCCTGGCTTCCCTCCCTCCTCCTTCCTGCAGCAGATAATCCCCCTCCCCCTCCATCTTCAATACACCCCCCCTCTTGGTCCAATAGCCACAGGGGATGATATGACTCTTCCCCCTCTCCCTCTCGTTGTGTTTCCTTTTTTCCTTTCTCCCTCTTCCCTGCGTGTCGTCCTGTGCGCATGGTGCAGCCTATCTCTCTCTCTCTCCCTCCACATACCAAGATGGGACAGAGAGAGGGGAATGCCCGCCAGGGTATATGTGGTGGTGGTTGGGTGTGGTTTGGGGGACCCATAAGTTCTCTCTCCCTCCGGGTATATTTGTGCACATCCAGTTGCTCGGGCACAGCCTCTCGGCGTGTCTTCCCCTCTCCATGTGTCCCTCCGCCTGTCCCTCCGCTTGTCCCTCCTTTTTCTTCATCTGTGGCATCCAGGCGAGGGGCACATTCTGAGGTGCGCCGGGTGTCTGGGGCTGGCAGCATGTGTGTGTGTGTGGGAGGGGGGCGG